ATCGGGGCCCCTACTAGAGCTCAAGTCCATTTGGCATCATCCATGGCATAAAGTGGAATCAGAGTTCAGGTGTCTCTAAACAATATTTCTGTCTACACCTTTTCAGTGTATTGGAAATAACATTTCCCAACAGAAATGTTGGGAATAACTGCTGGGAATAACCAATTAAATGAAAACCTGATTATAGAAAAAAAATATTTTGTACTAATTTCTTGTATTTAGACTTAACTGACTACAGCTCTCTTATGCAAATTCTCTGCTCTAGCTAAACAAGATTCCCACTGGAGCACAGAGAAAGGAGATCCACAGGAGAGCCTAATCCTGAACCACATCCACGTACTTGCCCATCAGTTTCTCCTATCTGGCCAATACTGTTCATATGAAATTCTACCTGCCCTTCATAAATCAGATTAAGTTCTAACCTTTCACAAAGCTGTCCCAGCCCACTCTTGTGGATTAATAGTATACATCAATTTCAATTAATTATGGACTTGTTTCATCTTTTATCACTTATAGTAACAGTAGAATTTAATCTTTGTGGTTTTTACATTTTGTTTTCTCAACTAGATTATAACCTGACATCACATGGATCACATGGATCACTTATTACAATTCTTTCATATCTTCTAACTATTTTTGGTATAATTTCTTGTAGAAAGTGAGCACATAACTGTTAAATGTGTTTATTTACTATTGATTTGTACATGTGTACATGGAGTGAAGGAGGCATGTGATACTTTAAGAAAAAAGTGTTTTCTAATATTTAAGAAACCATACTATGACATTTGACTATTATCTAATTATTTGTACCAGATTCTATATTTATAATCCTATTAGCTGTTACTGAATACATATGAAACAATATAATGCTATTTCTTCTTCATTACCTGTAATTTTGATATTATTCTGGTCTTAGCCATTAAGTTAACTACACACTAAGATAGTTCACACAATTTTAATTGCTGGTTTATGCATAAGGTTCCTTCTATAACCTAATCATATTTCCAAACCTACCACTAAATAAAAATTTACTGAATATCTTCCAAGAGCTAGCCCCCATGCAGGGTATAGAGGCCTTCAAGAAACTTAATATATAGAAGAAATAAACTGCATATAGCTATATATTTGCACATAACAAGTTGTAAGTTGGCTGCTGCAAAGCTATTTATGTATATATAGCACCTGTTCTTTGGCTATCCTGTTTTTCCATAACAATTGCTAAATATATGTTCACCTTTAAGTTAACTCAAACAATTGCTATGTACTAATAAAACCTCTGCCATAGTATATAAGAAATATGAAAGTAGTATAGACATGTTTCTTATGCCTGATGAATTTACACTCTTCTCAGGAAGATAAAACATGATAGAAATAGCACCTATATATAATATAGTATGATGAGACTGAATAGTATAATTGAGAAAAATCAAAATGAACTAAATAGGAAAAATTGTCATAAGCATTATACTTAAATACTATACCTGGATTAGGACTCATTTTATGGGCATAGATCAGCGCAAGGAGAGAACAAAGGGATACATCTTGTTTATTTTTAAGAGCCTCAAATTCTCGAAGAGCTTCTTGAACTTTACCTGAAAATCAAGATTATGAAATGAAAAATTGTTCATAGTGCAAAGCAAGAATTTAAAACTGATGGAATATGTTTAATAACTAGCACATACCTTCCATTAATATACCATAGGCATGAAAAAACCTGAAGACTGGGTCACTGCCATATCTCTTGATTCCTTCACTGGCAGCAAGTAATATATGACGGAAATATCTCTCTTTACAGTAGTAATTAATCAAAGTCTAGAAAGAAATAATGACAAGATATTATAAAAGGATATCAGTGCTCTGAAATACTCTAAGAAGCAGATGTTAATGTAAAACATGGAATAATCTAAAACTTAGATAATGTGATATTTTTTTCTTCCAAGTTCTTGAAATGGTGTTAATGGCTAGTACTCAATAAGAAGGAGTATAGAACAGAATAAAAACAAAATTAGTGAAATAATTCAATATTTTCTAATAATTCCAATCTTTTCTCCTAAATTTTTTAACTATTGAAATCAGGCTACTTTCTTTTCCTTTACCCACGTTTTCTTGAAGGTTCTAGAAAACAGAAAAATACACCAAAACCAAGAATTTTTTTTAAAAAAGACAAGAGGCTTCCATTGCCAAACCAGATTTCTTAAAAACAAAATCTGCCTCTTAAAATACATAATATTTTTTTATTATGGCATTATGAAGTAATGACAAATTAAACTCAGCAATCTGTCAAACATCATTTTACGTGTTTTAGATGTGAGTTCTGCAACAAATAAAAGAACAAATGATCTAAACTGTTCTTCAATGAAAATGATTATCATTAAGCTTTTTTCAAAATTATATTATTTTGATTTACAAGACAGAAAACTACTATCAGGACCTACTAAATTCTGATTAATTGGGTCTGTGCTTTATACCATTTTCCTCAGGATCTATCTAAAGATTGGTTGCTGACCTAATCAAAGAGGGAAGCCACACTTCCACCATCATTGTCATACCCTTGATTCACCTACAGAAACCAATTTGAGACATCTCATAACCCCCTACCCTGACTGTAGCTCATTCAGCAGGAGTGGGAAATATGGATAAAGTGCTAATTGACAGGGTTGACGCCTAAGAGTGTCTAGACAGCTCAGTTCTACAGTCTATTGTTTCTGGAAGACTCCAGTTCATGTCCTTCTCTCTAGATCAGTGAGGCAAATATTCTCTCCAGCTTTTACTCTGCTTTCCTCCTTGTGGTTATTGCTCTCTATTCTTCGTCTTAGCCACATTTCTTGAAAGTATGATCCATACCCATCTCCCAGACCTCCACAGCTCACTTCAGTAAAGTGCAGTTCTCCTCCAATGCCCCACTGCCCTAAGGTCGCAAATAACCTCTTACTTTGCCACAATTAAGGGCACTTTTAATATTAATATCATCCTATTTGAATTCTGTCTAGCATTTAGTATCACTTGGCGCCTATAATCCTCCTAAGGGCATTATCATAAAAAGGACATGGATTTAAAAGTGAAAAGACTTGGTTGTATATCTCTGATCCATCTTCGAAACCTCGGTCTGCTCATTTGTGAAATGCTGTTAATAATTTACAGGTTGTTGTGAGGACTAATTAAGATACAGTATAAAAGTCCTGTTCTGAAAAGAAAAAAAAGTTCCTCTGAATCCCGTATGTTGATGGAATAAAAAGCAATGTGTCTAACCAAGACTTCTCATCTAAGCTCCAGATTCGTATTTCTATTTGCCACCTGCCACCCAAGCCACAAATTGCAGCATGAAAATTTCCCTTCCCCCTAAGTTTCACATGTCAGTAGTTTTTTCTATTTCTCTAGTCTAGCTCCCACTAAACATACCTATTGCCACTGCCTTGGTTCATGTTAGGCTGTTCAGTCCAACAGACATTTACTGACCACCTACTAGTGCCAGGCACCGGGCTACTGTGAATGTAAAGGTAAGTAAGACATGGTTTCTGCCTCAGAAAAGCTTACATTTTACAGATGAGACTCTAATTTAAACACCAACTGAAATACAATGTAGTAAATGCAAGAAAAGAGCTTATAAATTGCTCTGGGAATGTAGGATAACAACACTTAGACAGCTCTGGTACCTGAGGTGGGGTAAGGGGAGGATAGAAGAGTAAAATTAAGGAAAGATTCTTGGGGAGGACTTCAGAGCTGACTCTTAAATTGCAAACCCCTCACTCTCCCTACATACACACACACACTTTTCCTATTTGCCTTTCATGATTTTGAGGGAGGTACAGGAGTTAGTCAGGCATAGGAGCAAGACAATCAGAGGAACTGTGACAACACACACACACACACACACAAAAACCATCAGTGGTCCCTTGGGATGGAAGTGGTGATGGAAATCACTGAAAGCCACTTCATATTCTAGAGCAGGGGTTGGCAAAGTACAGTCTGAGGGCCATATCTGGCTTGCTGCCTATTTTTGTACAGCCACTGATCTAAGAATGGTTTTTACATTTTCAAGCAGTTGGAAAAAAAAAAAAGAAAAATATATTTCATAATGTGAAAATTATATGAAAGTTAAATTTTAGTGTTCATAAAGTTTTACTGGAACACAACCATGTTCATTCATTTAAGTATTGTCTATGGCTGCTTTTAAAACACAACAGCTGAGTAGATGTGACAGAGACCATATGGCCCACAAAGCCTAAAATATGTACTATCTGGTCCTTTGTAGTGAAAGTTTGCCATTCCCTGCTCCCCAGGCTTAACTAAAGACAAGGAGTACTAGAAGATGATGCTGGAGAGGAAGGGAGGGTGAAGAAGAGCCTTATATTAAGGACTTGAACTTGATGCTTAAGTCTAAGTGACGAGAAGCCACATTTTTAGCATGAAAGTGTTTGTATTAAAGAGTTCATTTGGGTGGCAGTGCAAGGGACAAATTTAAGGGGATGAAAAACTTGAAAGGGATGGGGGAATAGCTTGACAGAAGGATAAGATAAAAATTCAGGCAAAAAAACAAAGGACACTCTAGCACTCCCTACCCTCCTGCACTGCCAAATTGTCCTCCATCCACTTAACATCTCACAGGGTACATTTTATTTGCCTACTTATTGTCTGACTCCTACTCAAATGTAAGCTTCAAGACTGGAAGGGTCTTTCTTAAGCTTTATTGTTGCAGTGTCTTCTGTGCTTGCAATAGTGCTGGACACACAGAAGAATTACTGAATGAACTGAATTAAGGTTTTTCTCCAGCAATAGACTAAAATCTGTGAAGGCAGGGGCTGTTCGGTTTTGCTCACTGACATCTCCAGCTCTCGTGGACATATAATAAGCCCTTCATAAATACTTGCTGAAGGACTGAATGGAGAAGACCATCATCTGAAAAGAAAACTTTTATTTTCAAGCCTCATGACTTTTAAAGCATCATTTCTTTTAAAGCATCATTTCTTAAGTGGCACGCCATTAATATTGGCTAAATGGATTAATCAGTGATAAATAAAGAAGACCATCACTCTAAAATAAAGACTCCTTATTTTGAAGTCTCATGTATTTAATTGGTTTCATATAATCTTCCTGTCCAACGGTGGAGCTGACACTACTAATAGTTTGATGTGAGTCCCTAAAAATCGCACGTCGTATGTTAGTTACCAAAGCTTCCCTAACAAACATGATGCAAAAGCAAAAATAAGCACACCAACCTGAGTGGGGACAAGCACACTAACGACCATTCAGAAAGCAGCACGCCGGGAGGGCTGCCCCAGACCTCCGGATTCCAAGGCAGGGCCCGCGGAAGCGGACCAGGTGAGGCGGGCCACCGGTCCTCGCTGCGGGGCCGGCGACACCCACGAACCAGGGCGGCGAAGGCCCAGCAGGGGAACGGCGGCCTCGCGAGGTCCGCCCGAGCTCTCCACGCCCCCCAGCCCATCGCCACCCCCCAAAAGAACCCGTCCGGGCGCCGCCCGCCCGCCCGCCCGCTCACCTTCAGCACCTCCGGGTCCATGGCTCCCCCGAGGCCGGGCCGCCGGGAGCCGGGGCGTGTGCTCGCCTCAGCCCGCGGGAGACTCAGGGGCTCAGGACCCGGCCGCGGCCCCAACCCCGCCAGAGCTCCGGGACGCGGCGGGAGGGGCGGGGCGGGGCGGAGCCGCGCCGCCATTGGCTGCCGGCGGGAGGGGGCGGTCCCTTGCGGCAGGGATTGCGGGAGGCGGACCCCGGGCGCCGGCGGGGGGCCTCCAGGGAGGGCTGCGAAGGCGACCCTGGAGGACCCAGCGGGGGAAAGGGGCGCGACCGAATGGTGGAGCTGGAAAAGAAGTCCGCTAGGGAAACGGCTCTCGGAGGACGGTGGGTGGGCAGGCCTGAGGGTATGGAATAAAGGAAATGGAGGAGGAAGTCCGGAAGAAGGGCAAGTCTGTTTCCCACCGCTGGCACCGTCTGCCGCACGTTTGTGTAGGGGCCGATCCCGCAATGCGGCTAGCTGCGAGACTCCACCAGGCCAGGGAAAGCGCTTCACTTTCACGTGTGGTGGTTGCATTGTGGCCACCAGGTGGCGCAGAAAAATCACAAGTGCTTCACACAAACGCGAAGACCTTCTTGGACCCATCTTATTTGCAGGCATTGCTGCAATCTTTTGCTTGTTAGAATGCATATTAGCCCGTGTTTGTTTGTTTGTTTGTTTGTTTGTTTGTTTGTTTGTTTGTTTGTTTGTTTGTTTTACCAGGCCTGATAAGAGGAACAAATAAGTTAAACTTTGTGAGTGCGTATTTTGAATGATACTGTTGATTTCAAGCTGAGAATAAAATTAATCCCAATGCAAACTTTTGTGTTTGCACCCATCAGGCAACTCTGTCACCTGCTAATAGATTTCTTCAGTTCAGAGAGAATTGCACTGAAATATAGTGGAGTAAGAAAATTTCTACTTCTGCTTAAAGAGTTTTTAAAAATAATACATAAGGTTTAAATGAGCTTTGTCGAATCTTTTACATGGATTCCCAATTTTGATCCTAGTATTAATTATCTTACTTTAATTCACATGACATGTAGTTGCCTTTTTCAGGTTTTAAGTTTCTTAAGGAGTTTATGAACAATTAACTTTTTTTCCCACGTAACGACAGTCTTGAGAGAAAGGGTAGCTGCTATCCTAGGCTTTAGGGCAAGGCATTATTTCTCATTGATTTCCCTTTAATGTGCATTCCACTCAATTCAGCACATATTTTCATGAGCACTGATTTTTCTTTTCAACATTCATAGTCCAGCTAAAACATCTGTGGTGATGGGCAACTGGTACTATCTGCTAGTATGGTTTTCAAAGCTGTGGATTTATCTGCACTTGGAAGGCAGCAGAGAATACCAAGGGCCAAGGCACTCATTAAAACATATTAGGTCATGAAATATAAAATGTCCGATTTTGAATCAAAAGTTTAGTTTATTATATGTCAAACAAGATGCAGTACAATTAATCAAATTATACACCTAAACTATCAACACAGTTTTTCCATCTTAATGGTAGCTTGCTTATACCAGCAGCGAAGAAGCCTGGAGGGTGAATGATGATGAAATTGTGAAAGGAGTTCTACACATCTTATTGAGAATTGAATAGTTTTCCTTGCAAGAAGTGCTCGAAAGCTTGGAAGAAGTGGTGGTCAGTTGGTGCTAGGTCTGGTGAATATGGTGGATGACAAAGAGTTTCCAAGTCCAGCTTCTGTAGTTTGAGCAGTGTTGTTTTTGTGAAATGTGGTTTTGCAAGAGGATTGGCCTGTCCCTATTGACCAATTTTGACTGCTTAATCACAGGCATCCTTATCATTCTGTCCGATTGGTTGCACTAGACATCTGCTGTAATCGACTGACCAGGTTTCATGAAGCTATACCGGATAATACCAGCACTGGACCACCAAACAGACACCAATAGCTTTTTTTGATGAATATTCACTTTTGGACTGTGTTTTGGCACTTCATCTTTATCCAACCATTGTGCCGAATGTGTGTGATTGTCAAAAAGAATTCATTTTTCATCACATGTAACAATACAGTGTAGAAATGGTTCCCCTTTATGTCCTGAGAGCAAAGAAAGGCAAGCTTCGAAACAATTTCTCTTCTGATACTCATTTAATTGATCAGGTACCCAACTATCCAGCTTCTTTACCTTGCTAATTTGTTTCAAATGGTCCAATATTGCTGGAATAGTAATGTCACACCTTGCTGCTAATTCACGCATAGGTTGAAATGGACTCGCTTCCACTACAGCTCATCATTTCAGTTCATTGTTATCCACCTTGGTTTCAGGTCACCCACATGGCTCATTTTCAGGATTAAAACCACCAGAATGGACCTTCTCAAACCACGGATATTCTATGTGTTCATTAGCTACATCCTTCCCAAACACTTCGTTGATATTTTGAGCTGTCTGTGCTGCACTGGTTCCATGATGGAACCCATATTCAAAAATAACACTATTCTTATCTATCCATGGTTTCACAAAATTTTCTCTAAAAAAATTTGAAAGATAATCATAAGCCAAAATGTCCATTTGAAAGAATGAGGATGTATCTTCACAATAAAAATAAAACAAGAAGTGTTAAAGTGAAATGTCAGAGATACCAGCTGTCAAACTTAGTACGTAAGGAAATCGGACACTCCATAATTAATAACCTGATATAATCTTGAACTGCGACTTTTGGTTGCAAGTAAAAATTCATCTGAAAGGAAATATCTAAGGATCAGGCTATTTCTGTATGTAATTTCCGTTTCCTGTCCATAATTACTGCCTGCCCAGGTTGCTTGGTGGAGCTCTTTGAATCTTTATTGGTTTTGGGTGCTGCCTGATTCATGAATCATTTCTTTGCTCAAATAAACCACTAAATTTAATTTATCTAGGGTTTTCTTCTAACAGGTTATTACTATAAAGTTGAAACAAGATACATAGATGTTAAAGAAGTATGAAATCCAAATAAAGCATCACATAGTTCAGGCAACATCATGGAAAAGTTAGAAGGTTAACTAAAGCCAGAATTGCTGAGTTTGAATTAAGGTTCTGTCTCTTAATAACTTTGCAACTTTGGGCAAATCATTAACTTTTCTCTGCTTTAGTTTATGTATTTGTAATGGCTAATTATAAATAGGTAGTGTAATATTTTCTTTGTCAATCTATAGATTAAAAGAGATTATGTGAAAGTATTTTATAAATGGAAACACACTGTGTAAAAGTTATAGCACATTTATAGGAAAGCTCCTTAACCAAAGAGCTGTTTAAGTATGGAGGAAGCCATTTTACCTCCCTGGGATTAGGATCCAGCCTTTGCTATCAATGATTATTTTCTTTTCCAAATAACACAGTACAAATGTACCGTGCTTTTGTATAGTGTATGAAATGAAGAGGCTACTGATACCAAAAAAAATTAAGACAATTGGCATAACTTATCTCTTTAAAAGTCTTCATTTTTATTCAATTAAGTTAGGGAGAAGAAGATAGAGGTCAGTCACTTGCCTTTTACGTTTCTTTTGCTCAATGGCACTCACTACGGTGAGAGTTGAGAAAGTGATCTGAGTTCTAACAATGTTTTGTTTAATCAGTTATTCATTCATTCACCAAACATTTAATGAGTGTTTATGGCAGAGAAAAATTCTTGTCCTTACTCTCCTAAACTTTAAAGTCTAGTAGAGTTAGACAGACATTGAATTCACAAAAGGGAGACATTGAACAAATATTCACAAAAGGAAATGAATAAATTACAGTAAGTTGCAACTACAATAAATTAATAGCTGTTTTAGAAAGTGCAATGAAACGAGACTAAATTGGGTCTCTCTGCCAAGCTTTACGGATTAATGTATCAGTTCACATCAATTGTTATAGTCCAGAGAATCCTTTGAATCAATTCCTATAATTTACTTCTTTTAGACTACTGTATTATACTTTGTTTTTCTCTAAAAATACCCCAGCAGCTTAAATATCTGATGGCTAAGAACTTCTGATAATAGTAAACTCACCTCCTATTCACCGGAATTATGAGATGTAGTGAATGTTTCTAGTCGAATGTCGTAACATAGATTTACTAGGAGAGTTATTTTTTCTTGGTTTGCCTGGTTAGATCTTTACATTTTATTTATGCAAAAGTAGGAGAGAGAAGACACCGAAACATATATTTAAAAAGACACTATTCTTTTGAAATAGAAAGAATGAATTATTTAAGTGTTTATAACTGTGATATACAAAACATCTTCAGACATGATGCCATCTATGTTTCCTTTTGCTTCTTTAAAGAATCTTTTTCTGGTTTATAGAATAAGTACAAAGAATAGTGATAACTCCTTCCTCTCTGCTTGGTCTGATAGTAAGATGGAGAGTACATTAATAAGACAGAGAGTACTTATGTCCAAGTTCACATATGGAAAATTGTACTCAATGTCAAATTCACACTACCTCCTTCTAGATACTTTATTACTTTTGAATATGAGATAACTAAAGCTCCATTCTAATTTTTGTCTTAAGTTTGAGAAAAATTAGGTCTTAACTTGAGGCAATTGCACATTAATGTAAAATGTTGAGTCTGCAAAATTAAAGGAGCAAACAGCAAATTTATGTTCAGTAGAATTGAAATTATGAAGACTGTTATGCTCTGATATAATCTTCTTTAGATATGTTGTATCTAAGTTTTCGCACTGATCTTCCTTTACCTGCCTTTTTTCATTGGCTTCTCCCTTGCCTACATCCATTTCAGCATTTGTTTATTAGTAGCAAATATATGATACCACTGCACTACTGAATTAACTACGGGGAAGGCAAAGATTTACCTCTACTTTCTTAGAGTCTTTGGCAGGGCCTGAGAATTAATTTGGCCTGAGACATTAACAGGAGAAAAGCATACAAATGTATTTAATGTAAGTTTCATGTAACTTAGGAGCCTTCCTAGGCAAATGAAGACCCCAAGAAACAGCAAAAGCAAAATGCCTTTAGGCTAGGTTGAATGAAGAGAGGCAATTATGAAAAATAATTGAACTATGTGTGGAGATTAACAGAAGATAAGAATTATTTTTACAAGGTCTGTTTGTACAGAATTTTCTTGGCTATGACTCCCTATCAAAGAATGTTTCTTTTCTCCTCGTACAGGGAGGACATATTTCACATGAAAGTTTTTCATTCCTTATTTGCAGGAAGAAAAGGGGAGATTAGAGTGCCCTTTTGCATCTGCTGTATTTCATGTGCTTTTAGCTCAAGATAATCCTATGCCAAAGTGGCATATTTTGGTGGTAGCCACACTTTCTCCCTCTTCTCAGCCTGTTGGTCCAACTTCTTGCCCCAAATACCTCTCCTTCTGCCAATTTGACTTCTTTATCTCTAAGAAATTAGGACAGAGATAAATTCTTTTTTTTCCCCAATTAAAATATACAATTCAATGGTTTTTTATATATTCAGGATTGTGCGACCATCAACACAATCATAAACATTTTAATCATCTAAAAAAAAAAAACCCTGTGCCCAATGGCTACACCTCATTCCCCCTCCCTCTCAGTCTTAACCACCACTAATCTACTGTCTCTGTGGATTTGTCTATACTAGACATTCCATATAAGTGGGATCATACAATATAGACTGACTGGTTTCTTTCACTTAGCCTGTTTTCAAGGTTCATCCACATTTTAACATGTATGT